ATATATATATATATATATATATATATAAATTATCACTTACTTATCACTCACCTAAATTATAATATATATTAGTGTACTATATTATATACTTTCTAATAATTCTGTAAACACCAGCAGATTATAGTATTTCATAGTCTTACTCATTTCATACCATATATTGTTTAACTTCAGTAAATGGCTGTATATAATTTCAGTAGCTCAAAGCCTACTCTGAAAAAAAACATTGAAAAATCAGTGAATTATAGTTTCATACTCCTCTAAATGTATATATTTGTTTAAAAAAAGTCCTTACCTGTATTTCTGTCACCAAGAACGGCTTGTAAACATTCCATTCATCAGTGCTTGGATAAAAGTGAGTTTAACTTGGTCTGATGCAGTCAACTTTAAATCAGTATGCTTTCCTAGGCTGTGTTCTCATTACTGAAGTGCACTTGCACTCATGATATCATTTACTTGAACTACCTAAAAGCCAGAAGTTCCTTTTTTTTCTCTCAGTTGGGTAAAAACATTAGTTGCTTGGTCATCAGAAAAAGTCTTACCAAAGTAACAAGGTTAACATGCTGCTGAACAGGGGCGTAGCCATCATTTCAGAAGATCATGCACAGACTATCCTGTCTCTTTGAATTTAAATCTATATTTATTCACACCGGCTCTTGAAAACCTCTATGCAAACACTTGCCCGAAAAAGTGCGGGGGACGAATTTACGTGATATTAAAAGTGGGGGGGACACGTCCCCCGCGTAATCTACGCCCCTGTTGCTGAATATGAACCAAAAAAACTGACTAATGATGTCTTGATCAATACATTTTAATGACAGTGTTCACCTTTACCACATAAACATCACTATATTATGGACAAGGAAAGTCACAGCTCTCAGAAGCACGAAAGAACACCTCTACACATGTATTCACGCCGACAAACAGAAATTCACACATAAGCACCCACATTCACTTGCTAACACACATGCTAAGATACACCCATGAACTCACATATGCAGACTCAAAAGAGCTTTTCAGTAAAAGGCAAGAGATCTTGGAAGGTATCAGAAACGTCTCTCTTCCTCTTTCTGCATGTTTGTGCATGCATGAATTATACACTGCTCTTCTATTTGAATTCATAGTGATCACAGTAATTCAGATAAAATCTAATAAGTTTTTTTGCCTTTTTGATTAGTTGCAGATGGAAGAATGTTTGAACATCCAGTCTATTTCTCTTATATTTCCTTTAACCACACGCAATTCCTTGGTAACTTGAGCAACTTGGATTCCTAAATGAAGGCTAACCAAAAATACTCAAAACACTTAGCAATGCTGGTAATTCTGTGACACTTGATTGCATTTTTGGCTTTTTTAATTCACAGCATGCCATGGTTTATACTAGGGTTGGACAAAATAACGTGAACACCCTTTATTATAGGGGTTAGTAACATAATGTATAGGCTAGAGTGAAAAAAAACTAAAGTTGGCTTATAATTAAAAGTTGCAATTATCTTTTTATTATCTTTTTGTTCTCTATATTATTCTCTAGGTTGTGTATCAGTAAATTGTGTTCAGCAGTGTTAAGGGCAAAACATAGGAGATGTTTAGCAGTTCGTCTGCAAAGATTGCAAAATTTCTAAATCCATGGTAGCCCTTTGGGCAGGCATTCTTCATATTTTGGTAGCCCAAAATGAATTTAACTAGCCCAAATAAAAGAGACATCAGCTGAACTTCACAAATCAACATGATGAAAAACTTCAGTGATTGTGTGTTTCCTTCAAATAACAAGTCAAGACAGTTATGGGTGTAACAAATCACACAACTCATGGTTCGGATCATATTACATATTGAATGTATTGAGTGCATGAATACATATTACAAATTGAATGTTTAAATTGGCAACATGTGCAAATGAAGTCCTACAATCCATTTCACCAATACAAGCGAGTAAACAACGTGAATCAAGGAAGTAATTTAATATCACTATTCAAAATAGCCTGTTGGGCAGGGCGGTGATGCATTTTGGTAGCCTGACTGGAAGATACAATAGCCCCGGGACGTCGGGCTAGCAATTTTGTGGGTCTGTAACCTTAAAGGTGCAATAGGTGATTGTCTTCAGAAATTTTTTTTGTTATGCTGGTTGAAAGTCTCTTCACATCCCGATAGCAATCATTAATTTAAGTGGTCTAAATGTATTTATCTGTATTTGTATATTCTGTGGAAGGCATAGGACCAAGAAATGTTCATCCAATCAAAAC